CTAAAAGTTTCATTTTTTTCTGATGTGAGAAAAAAATTAAAATGTTTTCTTTGACCCTAAAAGTTCACTTTTTTTTCTGATTTTAAAAGAAATTAAAACATTTTTGTGGGTCCCTAAAAGTTTTGTGGGCCCTAGGCACTGTGCCTACTGTGCCTAATAAATAAGTCGGCCCTGGGTGGCTGCTTTTGACATTGCATGTGTCTTTTGCTACAGGCTGACACACACACGTACACAGCCAAAGCCAGTTAGATGACAAGTGCACAGAAGCTCTTTGAGTAGGGAGATAACTCAACATGGTTACCTAATATCAGACATCTGCCCAGCATCCCACGTCCCCCAGGTGTTTTCAGAACAGCCCGTACTCGGACATAGAGTGTCCCGCATGCTCCTACTCTTACAAATGTCATCCCAAGATAAACGGAATGACTCATAATTTGGAGACTGCATGGATGGGGGAGGCGAAATTTCCCATCATCTGCTTGGCTTCCAGTCAAAGCCATTAGTCCCTCACTCTCGTACAAACTGGAGAAGGGAGCAATCAGTCTCAAAGTGTCTGTACAATCCAAGGAGCTATTGTTCTCTCTGCTATAGTCTCCAAAGCTGTTGTGGTGTTTTCAGCTAATTCCATGTAAGGTCCTACTCTGTGTCTCATTACTATAGTATCTGAGCACTTGCAATCATTAATGTAGGACCCCTCTAAGGTAGGACAGGGCTATTTATCGTATTGGACAAAGGGGGAAACTGAGGTACAGAGAGGCAAAGAGACATGCCCAGGGTCACGCATGAAATTTTTGTCCCAGCAGGGGCTTGATTCCAAGTCTCCATGTCCCAAGCTGGTGCCCATGCTGCTTGACCATCTCTTAGGAGACTTCTGTACAATATCAGATCTCCTGGTCAGGCTGGTTTTTTATTGGAATTTCCGTATGAGAGCAGACACACAAGAGAGAGAGAGGCTGGACCCAGATGCGAAGGTGCATGAAATGCCAATTTATGTTTAGGACATAACC